GGTTTTGTTATCTTTCAGCTGCTTGTTCAGGATGAGTTGAGTGAGGCGGGAGGCGAGAAACCCTCAGTCATGATTCGTTACGTGCTCTTCAACTTCGCGCTTGTCGGTGTGGCAGTCATGGTATCTGCTGCATCTATTGCCCTCTACCACAGAGGTGATGGCGGGGAAACCTCACAAGGCACGGCCGTGTGTAAGATCTGCGCACCTCATGCACAAGTTGGCATTGAGGATCCCCAACAAGCAAGACTCACTCAAGACAGAGAAGGAGATGCAGCAAAGGACGAGGAAAAACCGCAGTCAAAGGTTTGTCATTAAATTTACTATTAATACAGGTTCTTTGTCTTAGACCAAACTCGGGCGAGGTGTTCTTGCTTCCCGTAGGCCTAGGTGGGATATAGTGCTAGGGAGGTGCCTACTGTAGCCTACATATACTTAAGACTGTTTCCCGAGGTTTTATATACCCTGTTTTATTCCTCTCTTTCACAGGCAAAGAAACCCTGGAACTGGAAGAAAATCGCGAAGTATCTGGATCGCGTCTCCTTCGTTGTCTATTACATCGCATTCTTCATCTTCTTTTTGTCGATGGTTGTTGAGGTTATCCAGACTTAGGGAGCCTTGGTACCGGTAGAGGCGCTAGAGGTTGCACTTTTGCGAGGTTACCGGTATAAATCGGGGCGTTCGTGATCGTGACATTTTACAAGTGTCGGTTTATAGATAGGTGTAAAGACTGTCTCTCTATATCCATTAGAACCACCCAAATAGCCTGAATAAAAATCAAATACTGTGTGTGTTATACACTGGCAATGCGGTCACTAGTGTACGTCTATGCCCCGAGGGACTGTGAGTGACCAGAGGAGGGTCCTATTTCCCGAGGCCAAAGGACGAGGAAAATATTACTCCTTCTGGTCACTACAGGCCCGAGGGGGGGGGGCATAAACGTGCACTCGGGACCGAATTATGCCAGTCCATATGTATGTGTGGCTTGTTTTTTACTATACCTCATAAATATTCATCAGGCAACCGCGACATTTCATTGGTCCATTCCAGCAACTCAACCTTGTGAAAGTTTGTACTATCACCCTGCGTCTTCGTACGCGCGCGTGACGCGCTAAAACCAGGGTGGTACCATCACACACCTGGGTCGCGCGCAGCCTTAGATTTGTTCCAGTACTGTGTTATCTCTTTACCAACGACGCATACGCTTTGCGTGCATACCATGGAGATCACAGTACCAGTGAGGACAGTTGTGCCAGTCTATTATGGCATACATCAAAATGGTGACCGGTGGTGCTCGCTTTGCGATTTTAATCGAGGAGGAACTGGGTGAAGTTTTACACAATTTTAATGAATCCATGTTTTTTTGGGAATCTTAAAGTTATTAAATGACACAACATTAACATTCTGTTTGTCTCCTTAAATTAAAATAATGTTTCACTTTATCCAAATACTGTATGATCAAAAACATGGTGGAATAGACCAATGAAATACCGCAGCTTCCTGATGAATGTTTATGAGGTAAAGTAAAACAAATACAACATGTTGTGTTTGTATAATAACTCACCTCTGTCCAAAATATAAAATGAGAAAAGAAACCTTTCATGGTTTTATTATTGAACTGTTTTCAACTTTTAACTCGTAAGCAAATAAACTGTAAGCAATTCAACAATTAAAGGAACGCTTTTAGTTTCCCTAGATTAAATTGTTGAGTTTGAGTTTTGTCAGAGGGGGCTCTTACCAGTCAAATTGTTTTTAGTAGAGTGCCCGATTCACGACGAACTGTTGAAACAACGCGCATGCGGCGGGATCGCAACTCAGTCCAGGGGGAAAAAGCCTGTAAATCTCATGCGTTCAAAAATCATTGTCATCTTCTTATTCAAGTTTGCTCTGGAGCGCATCAAGCTAATGCGACAGTCATCTCCACAAGATCACCGTAAACGACATGCAAAAACACCCAACGAGGCCAGCGTAATTTACCGGGCCTACCACCTCATTTATCTGTCTCTACATCGATGTGACATGACAATATCAACCAAAAAGCACTCAGGCTAGCTCAAGACTATTCATTCCTATTCACTAATTAAAACCTTCCATAACCATCCAGGGTGGCCATTTCTCCGGCATCTCTGCTTACCGGTAAAATAAATCAGCAGTTAAGTCATCCATCTTTGATGGTGCGGTGGTCAAGTAAACACTGGTGTATATCAGAAGGAAATCTTCTATCATTTAACATTGACGTGACTGTTCTCCCTTCCCTCATTGATTGTGGCATAACTGCTTGCCAAATGGTCTTCTGCAGGCTCGTCAAGTTTAATATATACAAATACCTGATATATATCACGTGATTGAAAAAAAAGGTCATGCGATAAGTTTATATCCCATGGCGAAAAGTGTGGCATCACAGACGGTGGCCTGCTTTACGCTAGGCATGGTCACATTGTTGCGGGTTGCGGGTTCGAGTCCCAGTAATTTTCCTTTTTTTTCCCCGGAGTGACTTTTTGTCTTAACTTTTGTTCAATCAAGTCCTACTGATCGAAGAAATAAATTTTACTTTTTTTCTCTCATTCATGGCTCTTGAGGATTTTATAAAGGGAATCTAAGTCCGAGAACAATTCCGTTACCAAACTGAGGCATGCGCATAATGGTCATTAGTGCTTGGTTGTATAAAAAAAACATAATTACTAACTGCTCTGCCTAAATGCTTTTACCCCCATATACTTTAATTTGCATTCGTCTTGATAATGCATCGCAGTAATTAAACAAATTACTTTGTACACTATATACGCGCGCATGAACGCACACGTACAGCCCACTTTGTGACTAAATATAATGCCTACGTATTAATAAAAAAAAAACCCGATATTTTTTAATTTCTGGGCAGAATTGATGGCACGGCAGTTTCTCGGACGTTTACAAAGCAGTCGCCTAGCAACGTAGCGTCGTAATCTGGTATGCCAGCTTTGTGTAACAAGTGCAAATTTATGTTTGCAAAAAAAGGAACACCAGGGCACGGAAGGGTTTGAAAAATGATTTCATTCTTGATTTTCCGATTACAATATTAGTTTCATATTTCAAATATTTTATCCATCGAAGAATCTTTTCTAGATGCACAGTATGGAAAACCTATTAAATTACTGCCATAACGTACTCGTCCGTTCATGTCCGTTCACTGCAGGAACGTAAAAAGGCCTACATTCCCAGTGACTGCCTATATCAACAACACGAACCATAAGCAGCGCCATTCTCTTACCCAAAACTGGTTATTTTCCTCAAATAATAGAACTGATATTAGCTGTGGCTGAATACAACGAAAAAGTGGTGGCAATGTATATTTCTTTTCTCATACACAAAGATCATTTTTATTCAAATAAAAAGTGAACACAGCCTGATGGAAATTCGACATGATGTTGGATCCACACACAGTTAGCCATAAAATAATTATGAACTAAATGTAAATCCTGGCAACTTATAAAACTAGCTTCATACGCACTTTTGTAGACCCGGAAGTCTCGACACTTGCACACCTCTTCCACAATGGTCGACTGCGGTGCAAAGATGAGAGTTATGATGGCGACTGTTAATGAACAGGCCTGTCGTTATTTTGTCTACATCCACTGCGATTAACTTGAACTTCTTTTACGGCTCAAATGACATTCTTTGACGTAGAAATTACGTGTACACGCCGTGTAAAATTTAAGAAGAACCGTTTGGTACACAATTGACAGTGTCAAAAACAACCACAAATTTTAAGGTAAAAACGTCAAGTTTATGCCGGGCCCGGATTATCCAAATTGAGGGCCTACGAAATGCCGCAGTGTGTGATAATGCACAGAGCTACGAGTACCAATTGGTTCAATTTGGTAAAGGATCATGAATGCAAAGAACACGGTTTCCACTTTGATTTCAAAATCACTGAGCGGTTTAACAGCTCGAGTGCAGGCACCAGACGCATCGTAATTTTTCAAGAGGGCAGCATGCCCATGCATCATTATAGACGACTGGGTTTTTTCCCCACTGACAAATATAAGTGTACACTAAATAGAAAAGACAATTGGATTTCAATCAAGCTTTTCTTTTTACGAGTGACAGTTCTATTGTTCTATTGTTTAACATTTTATAACATTCATCGTCATACATCGTCAATTGTTGGTGTTATATAAATAATACGATCTTAAGTGAGCAGCAGGAATGGAAACAAAGAGAATGTGAAAGGACAAGATGAATTACCCCTGGTAACAGTAGTGAACAGGCAGGGGCGACGGAACGCTTTTCAAGCTTGGGGAGGGGGACACCAAAAAAAGGACACTTATCCAGAAAAAAGGGGCACCGTTCCCTCAGTGTGAAAATGAGAGCCCTTCGGCCTCCGCATTGGCGGATCCAGAACACAATATATTTGTTTTGGGTTGGGGGGGGGGGGGCCAAAAAATTTGGTCCCCCAAAATTGGGTCCAAAAATTCACAGCGTGGGGTTCGGGGCCCGCTTAAGGGCCCAGAAAAAAATGGATTGTAGAGGCTCTGTGGTACGATCTGAGGCAATTTCTAACCACTTTAAGCATTTTTTTTTGGAGGAAAAGATGGTGGTTTTTATGACGTCACTAAAAAAATATAAAACAAATTTGGGTTCTTTTTTTGGAGGGGGAAGCATGGCCGCGTTGCCCCGCCCCGCCCCCCTTGGATGCTCCCTTGGGCCTTCGGCACACCGCACGTCCTCCCGATCCACCCCGGTAGTAACCTCTTTTGGTCCGCCCATGAATTTGACTAGTTATGTAGAGAGACACAATCTTGTTAATGCGGGAGGGGTACTTGTGTTTTGAGGGGCAGTTTTGCATTACAAGAGAGCAGACAATTTTATTTGTAGCGCGATCATATGCTTTTATATGTGCGTTTGAGGGGCATTTTTGTTTTCATCTCAAAGGGGCACATTTATAACCACGAGAGGGGCACTTTTGTTGGCTTTGGAAAAAAATTGGGGGGGGGGGTGCCCCCCCCCCCGGTTCCACCGCCCCTGTGAAACAAATTTTCCAAAAAGGCACTTTCACTTTCTGAGTTTGTTTTGGTACCCACAAAAGTCTTCAGTTTACCGCTGCCACCATGTAATGCTTTTAGAAGCATTTAGGAAAGGACAGACAAAAATCCTTGTTTTTGACTTAACCCGAACACTGTTTTATTCACATGCTGGCAGTAGTTTAAGTTTATTTTAAGTTCATTCCACTTCCGCGTTTTTGATACATCGCGGTTACTCGTGTTTGCATGGCCGTTCAAATCTTGAAATGTCATAAAAATCACAATTTCTCCTACAACATATACACACAAAATCAAAAGACATGGAGGTTGCATCAGGGGCGGATCTGGCTTTCAGGAAACAGGGGTTGATATAAAAGGGGGGACGGTGAGTGAAGGTGTGCCGAAGGCATGCCCTGATAGTGAGATCAGGGGAACTTCGACCAACCCTCACCCCACCCCACCCAGATCCGCTACTGTTCATCAATATACAAGATTATTAATTCACGTTGTACTTTACATTTATTCGGGCTATCTGGGTGGATCTTTACGAGTGCAAAGAGTCAGTCTCTAAACATCTATATGTAAACAGACCCTGGTAAAACTTCGCGATTTCGAATGCCCCGATTTGTACCGGTAACCTCACAAAGTGGCAACCTCTGGCGCCTCACACCCTCACCCGGTACCAATGCTCCCTAAATCTGGATAACCTCAACAACTATCACCAAAAAGAAGATGAAGAATGCGATGTAATAGACAACGAAGGAGACGCGATCCAGATACTTCGCGATTTTCTTCCAGTTCCAGGGTTTCTTTGCCTGTGAAAGAGAGGAATAAAACAGGGTATAAAACCTCGGGAAACAGTCTTAAGTATGTAGGCTACAGTAGGCACCTCCCTAGCACTATATCCCACCTAGGCCTACGGGAAGCAAGAACACCTCGCCCGAGTTTGGTGTAAGACAAAGGACCTGTACTATAGTAAATTGTATGACCAACCTTTGACTGCGGTTTTTCCTCGTCCTTTGCTGCATCTCCTTCTCTGTCTTGAGTGAGTCTTGCTTGTTGGGGATCCTCAATACCAACTTGTGCATGAGGTGCGCAGATCTTACACAAGGCCGTGCCTTGTGAGGTTTCCCCGCCATCACCTCTGTGGTAGAGGGCAATAGATACAGCAGATATCATGACTGCCACACCGACAAGCGCGAAGTTGAAGAGCACGTAACGAATCAGGAGTGAGGGTTTCTCGCCTCCTGCCTCACTCAATGCATCCTGAACAAGCAGCTGAAAGATAACAAAACCGAATAAAATGGAAATACCGAAGGAGAGTTTCTCGCCGCACTCGGTGGGCAGCCAAAAGATCATTGAGGCTAGGAGCGTGAGGATCGTGCAGGGGGCAAGTACCGTGTACACGTGGTACTTAGGTTCGCGCCTCAGCGTGAGGTTCACCGTAGTCTCTGAGGTTCGGCGGCACTCCTCACCATCTGCTACCGCGTGTGCATCGATGCAAGTCGGTGACAGGATGCCACGGACCGTGAGGTCATCAAGATGCCAACTGGAGATTGACTGGACCTCTTCGCGAGGTTTATCGGCCTTGGAGGCCTCTAACCTCATCACGCCGCTCGGGACGCCAGCTGTGCCGACAAGGAACTGACATTCCTGGACATCGAAGGGGAACAACGCCTGTTGAAGGTGGCATTGCGTCTCGAAGATGAGGGAGTGAAGCACATGAAGCACGCCCTCACTGGTGATCATCACTTCTGTATCGTCCGTGATCAGTCTTGACTCTTCAAGACTACAAGTACAAAAAATAGACATTCGAAGTCGCAATTTAAACAGTATTGTTTTATGCTATTTATTTTGTAGTTCTGAATACAACCTCTTAATTCCCAGTAAGTACGATACACAAAACATATCGTGGTACAATAATGCATGACCTGCGCTTCTAACAATTATGACATCAGACACAACATGAAACCTCAGCCTGTATCTGACGTTATGTAAGAAAAACCACCGATTAACGTCATAACCTCAATCTGCATGACCTAAAAAATTACTCACACACTGTGTGTAGAGAGACTTTGACGATATTATGAATGACAGGAAAACTCACGCGTTCAGCACCCGGAGTTTGGGATACCAGGTCTTGCCCGCCGCAACTGACAGATACTCCAGACCGTTGTAGACGTCAGGTTTCCATCTCAACCTGTCATCTTGCCATTTCTGAAAACAAGTATACAGTCACGTACGCTATATGAAATTCTTCGTCAGGAGATAAAAACAAATTAAATATTCTAAAAAGTGAAATTTCAAGTCGATCGTTAAAGGGAGAAACCCAATTTTAAAATATAAAATTCATCAAATAAAAATATAAAAGTTTACTAAATGAAATGAAATGAAATCAGATCAGATCAGATAAGATCAGATCAGATCAGATCAGATCAAATCAATTACCGTTACACCTCCATTATCCCGTGGACATTAAAAAGGAAACATGCAAAGTGTTCTTACCATGTTAAATACAGAAGCAATTCTAATTTCTTGTTCCTTGGAATCCTGTAAAAATATATAAAACAAGTGCTGAAGTTCTTTACGCATCGAAAGAGATATTAAAATTGACAATGACAAATAATTGCTTGGTATGGTACAGCCGTGCTAAAACCGCCAGCGACCCCCCCCCCCCTAATTGTAGCCCATGCCATGCCCTCCCCTGGCTCAGCGGTCACATACTAATAATCGTTATCATTGAAACTGACATGGGTCTATGCAAAATACGTTTCAACCTAATGTTGTATTCATTTTGAAATGGATTGGGACAATGAGCAGGAAAACTCTAGTAGCTATCGAAAAGCCAGGTGTGCGTAACATTAATGGCTGAGTAATAGACGTCTGATATGAGATGACTTGAATTTAAGTAGAACTGAAGAAATTACAAAAAAAACCCGATGGTTTATATCCATGCATCCATATTTTGATATCGTGTTAATATGGCACAACTTTTAATAGATACTGATTGAGGATTTGTAGCTCCTAAAACAAAATTTCCTAATGATCCCCTTCAACGCAGAACAAACCAACGTATTACCAACTTATTTTTTATCACAAATTCTTCCACTCCGCCACATTTGGAAAATTGGGAATTTCTAATTGCAAATTCCGAACGCTTTTCATGTTTTTTTTTTCTTCAGCTGACTTACAACATTAAGAATGGAGAAGACATCCACCCGCAGAGCGACTTGCACCGTCTCGGAGGCGTTTCGGACTGGGCGGATCTTCGCATCGTACCCGGCGTTCGTCCACAGATCTGAGACCAGGCGAGCCTCGTCATTCCACGGTACAGCACCCACTGCAGCGATGGCAGGGACTAGCACAAGAAGTACGGAGATTACACGGTTCATTTCTGAAAAAAATAATGTCAGTTTGAGAGATGTCCAAAAAATGCCTGTTAAATCTCATGCCTTCATAAAAGACTGTCATGGAAGTGCACACGCATACCACATACTCCTTCCTTTCCAAGTTTGATCATGTACGAACTTCACAATCCCGACAGCTCTTGGGACAATTATCGACGTCTCCCGGCGAAATTCATCACAGTCTTTCTCGGTACACGACTCTCACCTTTTGCAAACATGCAAGCAATATACAGAATGCAAAGACAAACGTGGCTACACGGCTCTACCTGAATCAGAGTGATCTATATGCACGGTGTATATGAGCTCGTATAATGCCAGTTGCTACATCTTCTAACTGCAGTTTACTCTCGAGCGCATCAAGCTGTGCGACATCTCCATAAGATGACCGTAAACGACATGCAAAAACACCCAACGAGGCCAGCGTAATTTACCGGGCCTACCGCCTCATTTATCTGTTCTCTACGTCAATGCGACACGACAGTGTCAACCAAACATCACTCGGGCTAGTTCAAGACTATTCATTCCTATTTGACCAATCAATCACATAATTTTCATTAAAACCTTCCGGAGTTGGACATTTCTCCGGAATCTCTGCTCACTAATGAATTATAGTGTTTAGTCAATACATCAGCGGTCCAGTCATCCATTTGCGACGGTACAGTGGCCAAGCAAACACTGGTAAGGTGATCACAATTAACTGGTATATAATGCTCTATATCACTGTAACACTGCCGGCCATGACTGTTCTCCCTTCCAACCACTGGTTGTTGCATAACTGCTCAGGCAGAAGTGCTTCAAGATCCCCTTACTTTAATTTGCAACCTCGCATCCATTTTGCTAATGCATAACAGTAATTACGAAACAATTTATTTTATGCATCATGATTGTGCACGCACGTACGCAATATACAGCCATGCACTGACTCATAATAATAGACCTGCGTATTAATTGATATTTTCCGTTTCTCTGCAGATTTAATGACACGGTTTGTAGGGCATTACTAAGCAGTCGCCTAGCAACGTAGGAACGTTTTTCTCATAGAATACAAATATCATTTCATACACATAACAGGTGAACATATCCTGGTGGAAATTCGACATGATGTTGGATCTACACATGGTGCAGCATAAAATAATTATGAACTATGTTAATCCTAGTTATCATGAACTAGGTAAATCCCATAAGTCTAGTGCTTCAAAAAGAGGTACATATGTACTTTGTGGACTTAAAAGTCTCGACACTTCAACACCAGTACGTACCTCTTCCACAATTCTGTCGTCTGTCTTGCAAAGATGAGAGTTATGATGGCGAACATTAATGAACAGGCCTGTCGTTATGTCGTCTACATCCACTGCGATTAACTTGAACTTGTTTAACTGACTCAAATGACAGTCTTTGACATACAAATACGTATACACACTGTGTACAATTTAAGGACTTATATATGGGCACACAATCAACAGTGTCAGTAGCAACCATGAATTCAAGTTGTAGCACAGAGCTACCCGGCCGGGTACCAATTTGGTTCAACCAGACAGTCTGATGGCTGTGTTGTGTTTGGCATTTGCTCACCCACTTGCGTATTCGTGTAAAGGATTGATGAACACAAAGAAGTTGGTTTCCAGTTTGATTTCAAAATCACTGAGCCGTAACCGGTCGAGTGTAGGCACCAGACCAATCGTAAATGTTCAGGGTGCACCTCTGTATTAAACTTCCCATAGACACCAGTGCTGAATGCCCATACATGTACTTCAAAATTCTTTTAGAAATAACTCTCACGGGTATTTAGGCTGACCAATCAGTGGGCACTTTTTATATCGGGTCTTCGGTCATTCACCCTATGTCGCGTCATAGACATGGATAAAAAGAAACCTGTGTCATGCGCTCTGTATCATGTTACGCGATAATGCGCCCAGCTGTTGTTGTATTACAAAACACAGCATTCGAATTGACCAATCAAACCATTTAGTTCTGGCTTGGGAATGAAATGACGTCACGATTTTAGTAAAGTCGACTCTGATTGGTTGGCGCGCGGCTTGCATTATTATCTGATGTCTAGACATATCAGACGTGTATTATTATTATTATTTTTTTAATCCAGGCGACCTTCAAAAAGGAAGCGGGCGGGGACGCTTCACAAATCCTTTTTTTTACGTTGCCTTATCTTTTACATTCACTGCGATCAACTTGAACCTATTAAATTGACAACAAAAAAATCCTTTGCCATAAAAATACGCGCTATGTAAAATTTGACAACTTATACTGGTAACACAATCGACAGTGTCAATGTGGCGACCATGAAAATAAGTCAAGTTGAAACACAGATGTATACGGGTACCAATTGGTTTCAACTATATAAACAGTCTGATGGCTGTATTTGGTTGGTACTCGGCTTTCGGCCACGCACGGGGAATTTAATCGTATTGATGTACACAAGGGAGTTGGTTTCCCGATTGATTTCAATATCACTCAGCCGTAACAACTCGAGTGCAGGCCTCATCGAATATATCGTTGTTTTCAAGAATGCAGTCTGCCCTTGCATCTGGAATGCTTTTTCACTCTGACAACTATACACTTAATAGAAAACGGAGTTGCATTTTTAATCAACAGTTGCTGGTACATGTTTTGTGCTAGTTCTTTAACATTAACAATTCATTGGCTTAATTCTGATACATCGGCTCTTCTTCACCTTTCTATATTTATACTGACCTACATGTAGGCATATAACATACACGTGATTTTTTATTGGATTGAATTTACGTTAAAAAAAAATCTGCGTTAAGAAAAAACGTCAATTGTTGGTGTTATAAAAAATACGATCTGAAGTGAGGAGGAGGAAAGCGGAGACAAACAAAATGTGGAAGGAAAAGGCGAATTGACAGTAGAGAACAGATTATATTTCGAATGAAAAAAGAGATCTCGTTGAATTAAAACAAAGTAATGTGAATTCCATTTCATATTAGCCAAGGGCGGATCCAGAACATAATTTTTGGGGGGGGCCAAAAAATTTTTTGGTTCCCCCCAAAAAGTGGGTCAAAAAAATTACAGCGTGGGGTTCGGGGCCCGCTTAAGGGCCCCGAAAAAAATGTTGGATTCTAGATGCTCTGTGGTGTGATCTGAGGCGATTTCTGACCACTTTAACCAATGGTTTTTTTTGAGGAAAAGATGGTGGTGTACTCATTGCCTGCCTTTATTGCGATGTCAAAAAGTGGGTCAAAAAATTTACGGCGTGGGGTTCGGGGCCCGCTTAAGGGCCCCTAAATTTTTTTTGGATTCTAGATGCTCTGTGGTGCGATCTGAGGCAATTTCTGACCACTTTAACCAATGTTTTTTTTGAGGAAAAGATGGTGGTGTACTCATTGCCTGCCTTTATTGCGATGTCAAAAAGTGGGTCAAAAAATTTACGGCGTGGGGTTCGGGGCCCGCTTAAGGGCCCCGAATTTTTTTTTGATTCTAGATGCTCTGTGGTGCGATCTGAGGCAATTTCTGACCACTTTAACCAATGTTTTTTTTGAGGAAAAGATGGTGGTGTACTCATTGCCTGCCGTTATTGCGATGTCACATAAAAAAAAAAAAAATTGATTTCGTTTTTGGGGGGGGGGGGGGCCATGGCCCCCTTTGGCCCCCCCCCCCGGATCCGCCCTTGATATTAGCCAGGTTACTGTAGGGGTAATAGGCGGGATGAAGGTATATTAATGAATACCTTGGAGAGTTGATGGTTTCTGATTGGTCGAGACTCGATCACGTGGCCGGGCATTAACGTAGCCTTGGTCAATGCTCTCGTCGTTATTCATCCCGTACGCGGTCAATCGTCGGCATATATCCTCACGCTCTACTTTTTTGTATGAATAGAGTTCAATACATACATTTTTCGGGGAAGAAAGGAAGTACAATTATTTCTAAATACATGTCCAATCAAACCTCTGATTTCGAACCATTGTAGATTTATCTCCTGTCAACATAATCTGGCTAAAAGTCTAGTTATTTTGACAACGGTTCAGTCAATCCAAAACTATTTTAGTTGAGTTTAACTGTTTTCCAATTCTTTTTAATTGGAAAAAGTGAACAGAGAAGTCGTTAATGTCATAATACATGTAGTAACTTAAAACGTAGTTTTTGAAATTACAGATTATATGTGACATAATCACATATATATATGCCACCATTTATTATAAACAGAACTACACATCCTTTCTGGATGGAACTTATACTGGAAACTTACCTGTGACATAATGTCACAAAAACGTTACCGAAACAGCCCTGTGTTTGTCCACAAACATAAATCTAGTTTGATTCTTGATTTGGAAATGATTTTTTTTTATTGGATAAGGTAAAAGCGACGATCATAATTTTGTTTAATGTACTTGTTTGGGGTGATGTTGCCCAATATGACTAGTGTGCCGTGGTACATGGGTTCTGACCCTGGCAGGGAACATGGTGCTTGTGCTCTTGGGCAAGACACTTTACTACGATTGCCTTTCTCCACCCAGAAGTATAAATGGGTACCTGTGAAGGTAGAGACCATATTGCGCTGATCTCGAGCTGCTGCTGGGTCTCATTCCTGATGAACAGGGATAATAATTGTGATGTGCATGTGATCATATTCTTATGGAATTTGCGCAATATAAATTTGTGAATTGTTATTATAATTCTATCTCAAAGAATTATTTCCCCATCAGAAAATATTACTACACAGTGGCAATGTTTAAACATCAGCATAATTTTTTTTTTTTTATTTTTTTTTTTACAGATTTCACGAGTAATGGAAAAACAACGATATGTTTTTTTGTGTGTAATCACATGGGGGCGCAATTCAACTCCGTGTGGCTAAACTTAAACATGATGCGTCCGGGCGGGGACCCGTCTAAAAAACCCTCCCGCGAGAGAATTGATGGCGCTCTCTCACTTCTTTGTCTATACGAGATTATCCAAGAAATTTGTTGTACAGTCATGTATCTCGAAATAATCTCTCTCGACGAAGCGCTCTTCGGTCTTCACGTTGGGCAAGTACTTTAGCATTAAGTATGTAACTTTAGGTTTTCAACTAACTGCATTTTTTTACTTGATACTTTACACCGATGTTAAGGGTGTATAATGATTGAGTTTTTGTGGTTTTAAGATTTTCTTGGCGAAAGTGTTTTAAAGGGAAGATACAACATTCGCAAACATAAAAATACGAACTGATCAAGTTATAAAAAAACGTACTGGATTGTTAGGGAATAACAGTCTAAAGCATCCTGTAAAATCGTGGCTCCTGGTGAGCTGACATTTTCCAAGAAAAATTTTATTAGTAAAAAACTGGCTTATTTTCAAAGGTTGCTCCTAATTTTTCATATAATTATTCCCCATTTTCTTTGCAATTGATTACACACCTGTGAAGGGAAAAAGCCTGCCAGACTGATTCTCTGCCCTAACAATTCCCCAAAGTCTACAAATAATTGCTCCGTTTCATCTTTAGTGGGGTCAGGCAACAGACTACAAGAACATGATTGTTTGTTTTTTTTGTTTTTTTTCCCACCATCTACAAGCCCAAAACGTAAAACAAGTCATTTTAACAATATTTGCTATAACGTAATAATCCTCCAAATCAATTTATTTCTGAAAATTGTAACAAAAGCAAATGTTGTACATTGCCTTTTATGTTGCCCAAATTGCGAGCTGTATTAATAGACCTTCATCCCGCCTATTACGCCTACAGTAACCTGGCTAATATGAAATGAAATTCACATTGCTTTGTATTAATTCAACGAGATCTCTTATATTCATTTGAAATATAATCTTTTCTTTACTGTCAATTCGCCTTTTCCTTCCACATTTTGTTTGTCTCCGCTTTCCTCCTCCTCACTTCAGATCGTTTTTTTTATAACACCAACAATTGACGTTTTTCTTGACGCAGATTTTTTTTAAACATAAATTCAATCCCAAAAAAAATCACATGTGTGTTATATGCCTACAGGTAGGTCAGTAAAAATGTAGATAGGTGAAGAAGAAGAACCGATGTATAAGAATTAAGCCGATTAATTGTTAACGTTAAAGAACTAGCACAAATAGATCTGCCAATCGTAAAAAGATGTACATGCACAATGTACCAGCAACTGTTGATTCAAATGCAACTCCCTTTTCTATTAAGTGTATTTTTGTCCGAGTAAAAAAAGCACTCCAGATGCAAGGGCAGACTGCATTCTTAAAAAAATACGATACATCTGATGAGGCCTGCACTCGAGTTGTTACGGCTCAGTGATATTGAAATCTAGCGGGAAACCAACTCCCTTGTGTTCATCAATACGATTAAATTCCCCGTGCGTGGCCGAAAGCCGAGTACCAACCAAATACAGCCATCAGACTGTCCATATAGTTGAACCCAATTGGTACGCGTATATATCTGTGTTTCAACTTGACTTATTTTTATGGATTGTGTTACTAGTACAAGTTGTCAAATTTTACATAGCGCGTATTTTTATGGCAAAGGATTTTGTTGTTGTTGTCGATTTAATAGGTTCAAGTTGATCGCAGTGAATGTAAAAGATAAGGCAACGTAAACAAAAGATTTGTTAAGCGTCCCCGCCCGCTTCCTTTTAAAAAAGGTCGCCTGGATTTAAAAAAGAAAAATACCAATACCACGGGAAAAGCCAAAAATGTTAACCAATTCATTAGAACATCAATACTTGCAAGTCTGAACTTTTAACTTCAGACCATGGGCTTGGAAGGTCTGAGTATCAACCGTTAATTCACGGGGCCAAGAGTCTCCTGTATGACGTCTGATATGTCTAGACATCAGATAATAATGCAAGCCGCGCGCCAGCCAATCGGAGTCGACTTTACTCAAATCGTGACGTCATTTCATTCCCAAACGAGAACTTTTCGAATGGCGGCCAAATGGAAACAAAACCCTCCGTCCTTTCTTCTTCAAAAACCCGGACGCTGAACATAATATTATTTTTACTTGGCCTAATAACGACATGCTTATACAGTCGCCATCATTACTCTCCGCTTTGCACCACAGGAAGAGGTACGCAAGTGTCGAGACTCCGGGCCGAGAAAAGTACGTACCTATTTTCAAGTTGTAGACTAAGCATAAATTATAGAATTTACAATTAGTTCATAATTTGGTGACTTTACTGCGTGTAGATCCAACATGTCGATTTTCCACCAGGCTATGTTCACATTATATGTGTATATAAAATGATATTTGTATTTTATGAAAAAAATCCATATTCCATGTACCTTCCCACCACTTGTTTTATTTTCTTCAACCACAGTTTATAAATTATATTTACTTTGTGGGACATTACCATTTTTTGGGGGTAATAAAATGGCGTGCGTCATGTAGGGTTTATTTTATTTGAGACAATCAATTACAAATGTAGACGTTTTACGTTCATGCTTTGACATGAATGGACGAGTTACGTGTCAGCACCAAAAAGTTCCTACTCTGTATAGAAAAGATTCTTAATTCGATGAATAAAGTTTTTGATAAATCAAAAACAATTATAATCAAAAATCAGAATAAAATCATTTTTTTAACAGCGTGCCGAGGTGTTCCTTTTCTATTCAAATGGAAATTTGCACGTGATACTCAGAGCTGTGACGCCAGATTACGACAAAACGTTGTTATAGCGACTGCTTAGTAACGTCCGATAAGCCGTGTTATAAACTCTGTGCCCAGAAATGAAATAATACCAATTAATAGGTAGGCCTGTAATGGCTTTGCCTGGGGCTGTACCGAATAGAGGTTGGTGTATGCGCGAGTGCCTACCAATTGAATTGCGTAGTAATCGCTGTGATGCATCATATAACGAAATGGATGCGATGTTGCAAATTAAAAGGCCTTTGCGATGTAATTTTGTTTAACGCAATCATTCAAAAAACAAAAAAAATGTAAACCTTTTTTGGGGGGGGTCCCATTTAACCTTATTTCAAATTATTTTTGCCATTTATAAGGATGGTTAAAATAGCAAAATGAAAATGACGTTAAATGGGACCCAAAGGTACAGGATTTTTAAGAAGTGGAACAAGCTTTGGCTTTTGGTGTTATTTTACCTTTGATACACTTGTTTCCTACTTAGGCCTCCACATTTCATTGTAAGTTGGAATCTACGAAAAGAAAAACTCAATCAATCGATCTTCTAACTGACATATCTTCCAATTCAGATTTTCAGAAATGAACCGTGTAATCTCCGTGCTTCTAGTGCTAGTCCATGCCATCGCTGCAGTGGGTGCTGTCCCGTGGAACGACGAGACTCGTCTGGTCTCAGATCTGTGGACGAACGCCGGGTACGATGTCGAGACCCGCCCGGTCCGAAACGCCTCCGAGACGGTGCAAGTCGCTCTGCTGGTGGATGTCTTCACCATCCTTAATCTTGTAAGTCAGCTGAAGAAAAAAAAGCATGAAAAGCGTTCGGAATTTGCATTAAGAATTTTCAAATTTTCCAATCTGGTGGAGGGAAGAATTCACTAAGAAAACAGACTGTTCATTTTGTGATAAATTGTCAACGAATGTTATTTTGTAGTTTGATATTTGTTGGGATTCTTTACGGTGGAGAGGGCGTGGTTTGTCCTGCGGAGGAGGGGATAATCATGAAATTCTGTCTGAGGAGCTCCCAAGTCTCAATCAGAATCTCTTCCAGTTGTACCAACATGATATCGAAATATGGATGAATGTCGGTTTGTATCCATGGATATTAACCGACTTTTTTTGGGGGGGGGGGTGTCTTTGTAAATTATTCAGTTGTATACTTAAATTCAAGTCCTCTCCTAGCATAAGACGCATTATGACCGAGTTATGAAATTAATGTTACGCACAATTGCGTTGATGGCTTTGCGAGAGCTACTAGAATTGTCTTGCTCATTGTCACAATTTCAAAATGAATACATCGTTCGGTTGAAACGTGTTTTGCATAGTCCCATGCCAGTTTCAATGATATAACGATTGTTACTTCGTGACAACTGAGCAAGGGGAGAGGCATGGCATGGGCCACAAACGAGGGGGGTCGCAAGCCGGCGGTTTTAGTACTGCTGCACCAAGGAAATATTTGTCATTGTCGATTTTAATATCTCTTTCGATGCGTAAAGAACTTCAGCACTTGTATTATTATTTATTTTTTCAGGATTCCAAGGAACAAGAAATTAGAATTGCTTCTGTATTTAACATGGTAAGAACATGAAACTTTGCTTGTTTCCTTTTTATTAAAATTATGTATAAGGATAATGGGATTTAAAGGGAGGCGTCAATGTAATTATATTGATTTGATTTTCGAATCGAATCGAATCGATTCGTTTCGATTCGATTCGTTTCGATTCGATTCGATTCGATCGGATCGGATCCGATCCGATCCGATCCGATCCGATCCGATCCGATCCGAACTGGATTTCATTAATTTAATGTTTTATATTTTTTATAAAACGTTTTTATCTCCTGATTAAAACTTCCATCAAACGTGACTGTATACTTATCAGAAATGGCAAGATGACAGGTTGAAATGGAACCCCGACGTCTACAACGGCCTGGAGTATCTGTCAGTTGCGGCTGGCAAGACCTGGTATCCCAAACTCCGGGTGATGAACGCGTAAGTTTCCCTGTCGTTTCAACTTGTGGAGGTAAATTAAAATCCCGCCCCCCCCCCCGCCCACCTCCCCGCTGGCTACGCCTATGATAACGCAAAATACAGGCTGAGGTTGCGTGGCTGTTTCTGATGTCATCAGACACAGTATGCAACCTCAGGCCGTATCTGATAATCTGGCGTTATGTAACAGTAGTCACCAATTAACGTCATAACGTTAATGTCATGTTTCTAATTTTTATAAGCGAAACCAGATCATGCATAATTATGGTGCACGATGTGTTTTGGGTATACTAACCAGAAAGAGGTTGTATACAGAACTTACAGATAGGCAGACCTTCAAAAACATAATCGGAAAAAAATGAACAATATTGTCTGCTAAATTTCAATTTTGAATTTCAATATTTTTGTGCACTGTAGTCTTGAAGAGACCAGACTTCTCACGGACGATACAGAAGTGATGATCACCAGTGAGGGCGTGCTTCACGTGCTTCACTCCCTCGTCTTCGAGACGCAATGCCACCTTCAACAGGCGTTGTTCCCCTTCGATGTCCAAGACTGCGGGTTCCTTGTCGGCACAGTTGGCGTCCCGAGCGGCGTGATGAGGTTAGATGCCTCAAAGGCCGATAAACCTCGCGAAGAGGTCCAGGCAATCTCCAGTTGGCGTCTGGATGACCTCACGGTCCTGGGGATGCTCTCACCGACTTGCATCGATGCACACCCGGTACCAGATGGTGAGGAGTGCCATCGAACCTCAGAGGCCATGGTAAACCTCACGCTGAGCCGCGAACCCGAGTACCACGTGTACACGGTACTGGCCCCCTGCACGATCCTCACACTTCTCGCCCCAATGATCTTCTGGCTGCCAACCGAGTGCGGCGAGAAACTCTCCTTCGGTATTTCCATCTTCTTCGGTTTTGTTATCTTTCAGCTGCTTGTTCAGGATGAGTTGAGTGAGGCGGGAGGCGAGAAACCCTCAGTCATGATTCGTTACGTGCTCTTCAACTTCGCGCTTGTCGGTGTGGCAGTCATGGTATCTGCTGCATCTATTGCCCTCTACCACAGAGGTGATGGCGGGGAAACCTCACAAGGCACGGCCGTGTGTAAGATCTGCGCACCTCATGCACAAGTTGGCATTGAGGATCCCCAACAAGCAAGACTCACTCAAGACAGGGAAGGAGATGCAGCAAAGGATGAGGAAAAACCGCAGTCAAAGGTTGGTCATAAAATTTACTAGTACAGGTCCTGTGACTTACACCAAACTCGGGCGAGGTGTTCTTGCTTCCCGTAGGCCTAAGTTGGATATAGTGTTAAGGAGGTTCGTATACTGTAGCCTACATACTTAAGACTGTTTCCCGAGGTTTTATACCCTGTTTTATTCCTCTCTTTCACAGGCAAAGAAACCCTGGAACTGGAAGAAAATCGCGAAGTATCTGGATCGCGTCTCCTTTGTTGTCTATTGCATCGCATTCTTCATCTTCTTCTTGGCGATAGTTGTTGAGGTTATCCAGATTTAGGGAGCATTGTTACCGGGTGAGGCGCCAGAGGTTGCCGCTTTGTGAGGTTACCGGTACAAATCGGGGCATTCGAGATCGCGAAGTTTTACCAGGGTCTGTTTACATATAGATGTTTAGATACTGACTCTTTGCACTCGTAAAGATCCACCCAGATAGCCCGAATAAATGTAAAGTACAACGAGAATTAATAATCTTGTATATTGATGAACAGTAGCGGATCTGGGTTGGGTGAGGTGGGGGTGGGTCGAAGTTCCCCTGATCTCACTATCAGGGCATGCCTTCGGCACACCTTCACTCACCGTCCCCCCTTTTATATCAACCCCTGTTTCCTGAAAGCCAGATCCGCCCCTGATGCAAGGCCTCCATGTCTTTTGATTTTGTGTGTATATGTTATATGAGAAAGTGTGATTTTTATGACATTTCGAGATTTGAACGCCCATGCAAACACGAGTAACCGCGATGTATCAAAACGCGGAAGTGGAATGAACTTAAAATGAACTTAAACTACTGCCAGCATGTGAATAAAACAGTGTTCAGGTTAAGTCAAAGACATGTTTTTTTGTCTGTCCTTTCCTAAATGCTACTAAAAGCATTACATGGTGGCAGCGGTAAACTGAAGACTTTTGTGAGTACCAAAACAAACTCAGAAAGTGAAAGTGCCTTTTTGGAAAATTTGTTTCACAGGGGCGGTGGAACCGGGTTTCACAGGGGCGGTGGAACCGGGGGGGGGGGGGGGCGGCCGGGGGGGGCAGATTTTCCAAAGCCAACAAAAGTGCCCCTCTCGCGGTTATAAATGTGCCCCCTTGAGATGAAAACAAAAATGCCCCTCAAACGCACACATAAAAGCATATGATCGCGCTACAAATAAAATTGTCTGCTCTCTTGTAATGCAAAACTGCCCCTCAAAAACACAAGTACCCCTCCCGGTGACGTCACAAAAACCACCATCTTTTCCTCAAAAAAAAAATGCTTAAAGTGTTCAGAAATTGCCTCAGATCGCACCACAGAGCATCTACAATCCATTTTTTTCTGGGCCCTTAAGCGGGCCCCGAACCGCACGCTGTGAATTTTTGGACCCAATTTTTGGGGGACCAAATTTTTTTGGCCCCCCCACCCAAAAGAAATATATTGTGTTCTGGATCCGCCATTGCGTAGACAAAGGGCTCTCATTTTCACACCGACAGAAGGGACCCCTTTTTTTCTGGATAAGTGCCCCTTTTTGGTGTCCCCCTCCCCAAGCTTGAAAAGCGTTCCGTCGCCCCTGCCTGTTCACTACTGTTACCGGGGGTAATTCATCTTGTCCTTTCACATTCTCTTTGTTTCCATTCCTGCTGCTCACTTAAGATCGTATTATTTATATAACACCAACAATTGACGATGTATGACGATGAATGTTATAAAATGTTAAACAATAGAACAATAGAACTGTCACTCGTAAAAAGAAAAGCTTGATTGAAATCCAATTGTCTTTTCTATTTAGTGTACACCTATATTGGTCAGAGTGGGAAAAAAACCCAGTCGTCTATAATAATGCATGGGCATGCTGCCCTCTTGAAAAATTACGATGCGTCTGGTGCCTGCACTCGAGCGGTTACCGCTCAGTGATTTTAAAATCAAAGTGGAAACCGTGTTCTTTGTGTTCATCAATCCTTTACCAAATTGAACCAAATTGGTACTCGTAGCTCTGTGCATTATCACACACTGTGGTATTTCGTAGGCCCTCAATTTGGATAATCCAGGCCCGGCATAAACTTGACGTTTTTACCTTAAAATTTATGGTCGCTTTTGACACTGTCAATTGTGTACCAAACGGTTCTTCTTAAATTTTACATAGCGTGTATACGTAATTTCTACGTCAAAGAATGTCATTTGAGCCGTAAAAGAAGTTCAAGTTAATCGTAGTGGATGTAGACAAAATAACGACAGGCCTGTTCATTAACAGTCGCCATCATAACTCTCATCTTTGCACGGCAGTCGACCATTGTGATGGAAGAGGTGTGCAAGTGTCGAGACTTCCGGGCCTACAAAAGTGCGTATGAAGCTAGTTTTTCAAGTTGCCAGGATTTACATTTCGTTCATGATTATTTTATGGCTGCACTATGTGTGGATCCAACATCATGTCGAATTTCCATCAGGCTATGTTCACTTTTTATTTGTATCAAAATGATCTTTGTACATGAGAAAATAAACATACCTTGCCACCACTTTTTCGTTGTATTCAGCCGGCCACAGCTAATATCAGAAAATAGCCAGTTTTGGGTAAGAGAATGGCGCTGCTTATGGTTCGTGTTTTTGGTATAGGCAGTCACTGGGAATGTAGGCCTTTTTACGTTCCTGCAGTGAACGGACATGAACGGACAAGTACGTTATGGCAGTAATTGAATAGGTTTTCCATACTGTGGATCGAGGAAAGATTCTTCGATGGATACAAGTTTTGAAATATGAAACTAATATTGTAATCGGAAAATCAAGAATGAAATCATTTTTCAAACCCTTCCGTGCCCTGGCGTTCCTTTTTTGCAAACATAAATGTGCACTTGTTACACAAAGCTGGCATACCAGATTACGACGCTACGTTGCTAGGCGACTGCTTCGTAACGTCCGAGAAACTGCCACGCCATCAATTCTGCCCAGAAATGGAAAATACCGATTTTTTTTTATTAATACGTAGGCATTATAATTATTTAGTCACTGCGTGGGCTGTACGGTGTGCGTTCATGCGCGCGTATAGTGTACAAAGTAATTTGTTTAATTACTGCGATGCATTATCAAGTCGGATGCAAATGAAAGTATATGGAGGCAAAAGCATTTACGCAGAACAATTAGTAATTATGTTTTTTTCTGCAACCAAGTTCTAATGACCATTATGCGCATGCGTCAGTTTGGTAACGGAATTGTTCTCGGACTTAGATTCCCTTTATAAAATCCTCAAGAGCCATGAATCAGAGAGAAAAAAAAGTAAAATTTATTTCTTCGATCAGTAGGACTTGATTGAACAAAAGCTAAGAAAGAAAGTCACTCCTGGGAAAAAAAAGGAAAATTACTGGGACTCGAACCCGCAACCCGCAACATTGTGACCATGCCTAGCGTAAAACAGGCCACCGTCTGTGATGCCACACTTTTCGCCATGGAATATACACTAATCACATGACCTTTTTTTCAATCACGTGATATATGTCAGGCATATGTACATTGTATATATTAAACTTGACTAGCCTGCAGAAGACCATTTGGCAAGCAGTTATGCCACAATCAATGAGGGAAGGGAGAACAGTCACGCCAGTGTTAAATGATAGAAGATTTCCTTCTGATATTCACCAGTGTTTACTTGACCACCGCACCGTCAAAGATGGATGACTGAACAGCTGATTTATTTTACCGGTAAGCAGAGATGCCGGAGAAATGGCCACCCCGGAAGGTTACGGAAGGTTTTAATGAAAATTCTGTTACTGATTAGTGAATAAGAATGAATAGTCTTGAGCTAGCCTGAGTGCTTTTTGGTTGATGTTGTCACGTCGCATTGAAGCGGAGACAGATAATTGAGGCGGTATATAGGCCCGGTAAATTACGCTGGCCTCGTTGGATGTTTTTGCATGTCGTTTACGGTGATCTTGTGGAGATGAATGTCGCATAAGCTTGATGCGCGCCAGAGCAAACTGCAATAAGAAGATGCAGCAATGAGCAGCTCCATTCATACGAGCTCACACCGTGCATAAAAATCACTCTGATTCAGGTAGAGCCGTGTAGCCACGTTTGTCTTTACAATCTGTAAAATGCATGCATGTTTGCAAAAGGTGAGAGTTTTGTAATGAGAAAGACTGTGATGAATTTCGCTGGGAGACGCCGATAATTGTACCAACAGGTTGTCCGGATTGTACATACATGATAGGAGTCTATCGAACTGGTAAAGAAAGGAGTACATTCGCCCTACCGTGAGAGTGATTTTTGAACGCATGAGATTTTCAGGCTTTTTTTCGGAAGTTGCGATCCCGCCGCATGCACGTTTTTTCAACAGTTCGTCGTGAAATTCTTGAAGTCTGTTCATGCAGTTTCTTTACTGCTGTGATAATGCCTTTTGCAGTGCTGATATTTTTGCCTATTATTTCTTGTAAAGCTCGTGTGGATGCACCGCATGTATGTTCAGGACTTCTGTTGCAAGATGTTGCTTTCTGTTAATAATTTTGCCATCCCATAAGATTTACATTTGATTGTTGTTTTTAATTGCATTGTGTTTAAATCCACTGAGTAACATCTCTCATCGACTTTTCAACCAATGTCATTGACTTCTCCCCTCAAATTGACATTATTTTTCAGAAATGAACCGTGTAATCTCCGTGCTTTTAGTGTTAGTCCCTGCCATCGCTGCAGTGGGTGCCGTCCCGTGGAACGACGAGGCTCGTCTGGTCTCAGATCTGTGGACGAACGCCGGGTACGATGTCGAGACCCGCCCGGTCCGAAACGCCTCCGAGACGGTGCAAGTCGCTCTGCTGGTGGATGTCTTCACCATCCTTAATCTTGTAAGTCAGCTGAAGAAAAAAAAGCATGAAAAGCGTTCGGAATTTGCATTAAGAATTTTCAAATTTTCCAATCTGGTGGAGGGAAGAATTCACTAAGAAAACAGACTGTTCATTTTGTGATAAATTGTCAACGAATGTTATTTTGTAGTTTGATATTTGTTGGGATTCTTTACGGTGGAGAGAGCGTGGTTTGTCCTGCGGAGGAGGGGATAATCATGAAATTCTGTCTGAGGAGCTCCCAAGTCTCAATCAGAATCTCTTCCAGTTGTACCAACATGATATCGAAATATGGATGAATGTCGGTTTGTATCCATGGATATTAACCGACTTTTTTTGGGGGGGGGGTGTCTTTGTAAATTATTCAGTTGTATACTTAAATTCAAGTCCTCTCCTAGCATAAGACGCATTATGACCGAGTTATGAAATTAATGTTACGCACAATTGCGTTGATGGCTTTGCGAGAGCTACTAGAATTGTCTTGCTCATTGTCACAATTTCAAAATGAATACATCGTTCGGTTGAAACGTGTTTTGCATAGTCCCATGCCAGTTTCAATGATATAACGATTGTTACTTCGTGACAACTGAGCAAGGGGAGAGGCATGGCATGGGCCACAATCGAGGGGGGTCGCAAGCCGGCGGTTTTAGTACTGCTGCACCAAGGAAATATTTGTCATTGTCGATTTTAATATCTCTTTCGATGCGTAAAGAACTTCAGCACTTGTATTATTATTTATTTTTTCAGGATTCCAAGGAACAAGAAATTAGAATTGCTTCTGTATTTAACATGGTAAGAACATGAAACTTTGCTTGTTTCCTTTTTATTAAAATTATGTATAAGGATAATGGGATTTAAAGGGAGGCGTCAATGTAATTATATTGATTTGATTTTCGAATCGAATCGAATCGATTCGTTTCGATTCGATTCGTTTCGATTCGATTCGATTCGATCCGATCCGATCCGATCCGATCCGATCCGATCCGAACTGGATTTCATTAATTTAATGTTTTATATTTGTTATAAAACATTTT